GCAGCAGACCCTAGAAGAACGAGTGGGGAGGAACCACGAGTCCATGCTCGTGGAAGGGCACGAAGGAGACAACGTAGACATCGGGCGGCACTGGCGCATCCTCATGGCCGAGCATAAGCCACTCCGCCGCATCAGGCCTCCTGCCGAGAAGACCATGCTTGACGAGGCTCACCATGCGCTCATGGGTAACATCAGAGCGGTACCACAAATCCATGGAGGATGGAGATGGCTGCGGAGAAGCAAAGGCGGCGGCGGAGAAGTGGAAGCTACAGATCTAGGGCTCCGGCAGTGGATTAGCAAGCACAGCAGATCTAAACGGTGGCTGCGGAGAAACGGAGAAGGTAAGGCTGTGGTTTTGGTGTGCAGAAATGTGAAGGCGGAGGCTGCCATTTATAGGATAGAGCAGGGCGTCCACCTAGGTTCATGCGCCCATTGCGCCGCGTCACGTCACCTCCCTCCGAAGATCATGCACACGCTATCTCTGGACGCGCTCTCAAAGGACACGCCGGATGATGGTTCGCCCTGTCGATGGGCCAAGAGCCATCTCAGGTAAGAAGGGATATAGAGCTAAAAACGCTCCTACAGTCCATTCAGGACCAGGAGTTCAAATGCTGACCCACCGATGGGTTCACAACCGCTCTGGGGCACCCTTAGAGCGAGGGGTGGAAAGGGATTGGCCCACTAGCGGCCAGTACCCGAACGCACAAGCGCCATGGGCATCCCGGCCCACGTTCAAGTCTTGGTCGGTTCCTAGTCCATTGTTTTTCTCGAAGAAAGACAACAAGCCCTTAGGACTGGCTGAATAGACCCAAGAACTATATGGATTGGCCGACAAGAGTCTGGAGTTGGTCACTAGCTGACCCATGCCGTACCCCCGAGAAATGGGAAGCCAGGGCTCTACTCGGACTAGCCCGTTAACAGCTCACCGAGCACCATGTTTCATCCATTGAGAAAAAACGTGGCACGGCTCAGCCCCTCCATTTTATCGAAAAAACGCTTTAGGGATGACGATCACAAAGACGAGCCGACCCTCGATCGGACCCCTGCTACGCGCGGGGGCTCGAGGAAAGTTGGACTCTCAAGGTGACCGAATGCGCGGTCGTAGTACGACGGCAGACCGATCGAATCCTAGGGGACCGAAATCAAGAACAATCTTTTCGACCGCCTGAATCCTACGGTTACATGCCCCCTAGAAGACCGATCGCGACAAAATGGAATCGCCGTCCTACCAGGACACGCCGTAGGCTAAAAAAAGAAGGCCAAGGCCCTTAGAGTCCTCCCATCCAAAAAAGCCTCCAAAGGAGTATTCTACTCCTCCGTAGGCTCGGGGGCTACTGTTGGGTATCGATATTAGGGATACCCAAACCAAGGAAGTTAGCGCCCATGCTGACTTCCCCAGATGGCACGAGACATATTAAAAGGTCTCGCCCGACCCTAAGGCCGCGGGCTCCGTCTCGCCCGACCCCTTGGCTACGGGCTCCGTCTCGCCCGACCCCAATGCCGCGGGCTTCGTCTCGCCCAACCTTAAGGCTGCGGGCTCCATCTCACCCGACCCCTTAGGTGTGGGCTCCGTCTCACCCGACCCCTTGGGTGCGTGCTTCATCGCGCCCAACCCCAAGGGTGCGGTCTCCGTCTCGTCTGACCTCGGGCTCCGTCTCGCCCGACCTCGAGGATGCGGACTCCGTATCGCCCAACCTCGAGGACGCAGGTTCTGTCTCGTTCGACGGGGACCCATACCACCGCCAACCACTCTAGGTCAAAGCGTATGGGCCTGGGTCAAAACTCTAACGCCAGGAAAAAGGTTGGCATGCCTCGATGTAACCCGTGGCCATGACAAGCCATTCCTGGGGATTCACATCGAAAACAGTGTCGGACGTGCCGGTGCTGTTCTGCCTAATCCTCGTACGGACGCTGACATGCGCGTCAGTTCACCACGACGTCCTCCGGGACGGAGTGGAACGCCATGATCGGTAGATGACGCCTGCGCATGGCGCCAGTGACGAACAGGGCCACGATATGGAGCCATCCCTTTTGACATATACAGGATCAATGGGACCCGCATTAAGGAGAAGAAGGACCCGGCAAACCTTGGAAGACTTCTCTCTCTCATTCTTCTACTTTTTCTCCTCTGTAACTCGCGCTTTCCTTTTGTCTATAAAAGAAAAAGCAGGGCGCCCCATGGAGGTGGGGGGATCGGAACACAATAGCACGACACGAGCACACGGCTGAGCAGCAAGCGAGCTCTCAGCACCTGTTCACTCCTTCTACCAGAGACTTAGGATCCTCTACCTCTCTCGCCTGTTTGTAACCCATACTGTAAACCAAGTGCCGGTAACACGAGCAGTAGCGAACTGGACGTAGGGACGTTCCGTCCGAACCAGTATAAACCCTTGTATCCTCCAAGCACACCATTCAAGCCAGACGCGTAATTACAAATTTACTCGTTGGTGGTCCGAAAATACCGACACAGAGATAGATAAGTAGTGGTATTTTAATCGGTGGGTCTTATTAGAAAAGTTGGTCTCATATCTATATTTAGACCATGTTTGGATCCCATGGCAAAACTTTAGCCCTGTACTTTTAGTCCCTCTTTTACCATGGGGATCCAAACAAGGGGGCTAAAAGTGAACAAATAGTTAAAAACTTGGATAAAATCTTTTGCTTCTAAAGATGCCCTAAACTGGGCTAAACTCTCTTGGGGTGGACGCTGGACGCCCCATACCCGTTACCTCTTGCATGCATGGCTGTGCATGGATAATTAAATGAGGGCAAATCAGACATTGTAAATTAGAGGATTAAAGTTTAACTGATGAATCCAAACAACCAAAAAGGAATAAAGTTTAGGGGTTAAACTTTAAGGACTAAACTTTAGTCATTGAACTAGTGATCCAAACACTACCTTACATTCTTTGTGAGACAAGATTTTGCAGGAGGGGCCCCACATATTCTGCGTGAACTCCAGGTCCAAGGGCATCAGGACACGGATCAGTGACGTTGCCCTACCATATACTGCAATGCAATGTGGCTTTGTTTAGTTCCAAAAACTTTTCTTAAAAATGCTACAGTAGTTATCACATTAAATTTTACGATATGTGCATGGAGCATTAAATGTAGAGAAAAAAAAACTAATTACACAGTTTGGTGGGAAATCGCGAGACGAAAGTTTTAAGCCTAATTAATCTATAATTAAACACTAATTGTCAAATAAAAACAAAAGTGTTAAATAGCCAAATTTCTAAATTTCTCGGAACTAAACAACGCCGTGTGTGTGGCGTGTTGTTTTCCTCTGGCTGACATGAGCCGTCGCCTTCCATGGCTTGTCAATGTCACGGGCCCAACCAAAGCTTGCTGCTGGCCCAGTGAGTAGTCCGTCAGAGCATCACCGCCCATGATCATCCTCAGCTGGGGTCCAAGGGGCCCTAAACTAGTCTATTTTAACCACTTCAGGGGCACAGTTCCATGCGTGCCAAGCCTGTGAGCGGTGTCCACAACACATGCTTACAGTACAGTTCAGCTGCTGTTTGGGTATGGCACCCGGCTTCCCTGTGTTTTCGTTTTGGGCGCTGAGATGTCTATTCCTTCTGACCACGAACTTTATAGGATCCATGGTGCATTTAATTTTATTACTAATCGTGAACTCCGGGTAAAAATCCTTGTAAGTATATTTCAAGAAAAAGAGTGTTACTTCGTTCTCCGTAAACGGCCAGCAGTACAGTACTGCAACGTGCAGCCAAATGCCGCTGTTTCGTAAGACTGTCCTGCAACCAATGCACGCCACGGCCGGGCCTCCGCGCACGTACGTGAGGCTGCAGGAGCTCAAAGGATCAGGCTGGCCGCCCGTGAGCGGTGAGCGGTGAGCGCGCTGCCCTGGACAGGCGTCAGAGGGTACACAGGCATGCACTCACAGCAGGCGCCGTGCGGGCGCACCCGCAGCGCCGACACGGCGACACGCGCTCCGGTGGGGAGCGGCCGTGCGCCCGTGCCGTGCTCTTGACCGGCTGCGGGGTACGCGCGTCGCCCGTGTCGGCGACCGTCCGGCTGGTCTCCCGGGGCGCGTGGCCGTGCACCGGCGACGCTCTGTGACTCTGTTCGTGTTCGTGTTCCTGTTCCTGTTCCTGTTCTCGTCGACTCGTCCGGCTCCTGGTCTGCCTGCTGTGTGCTGGCTCCTGCAACTTCCGGACTGTTACTGTTCTGCCGCCATACCAGCGCCGCGCAGACATTTTTTGTGTGCACAAACGGATTTTTCAGAACAGCCTTTTTCTCTCCTCCATACTTCTTATGTGATTTATCTCTCTGCTCCATATATGTGACATACCTACTCCGTATATCTCATATCTGTGCAAAAGTGGGAGCCATATCTGTGCAAAAGTAGCCATATACAAGGATGCCTTCTGCGCCATGACTGATGACTCTGACTACTGTGTAACCCACTAGCTCTCCTGCGACAGCTCCATCGCCATGCTTGAACTCTGAAGGAATCTACTGTGTTGCCGGTGGTGGGGCTGAGGCATCAACTTCTGTACCTCAAAGCACCATCAGTCCATCACGCTCATGTTCGGTGTACGTACATGATTTACAGTTCTGCACACAAAATTTAACCGAGCATCTTATTTCTTATTCAGTAAATGAAAGAAACCTCTTGTTTGTTTGTAAATAGCTAAACATTTTCCATCTCTACATCAGTAGAGAAGTGTCCTTTTCTCTGCTCTGGGCTGTACCAATTGTAGGGGGTGAGATCCTTTGATTTACAGCGGAGGAAAACTATACATGGAAAATTTTGAAGTGCCGGAACCCACCAAATGAAAGAAAGGAACTAGGTTAACCGTGTCATCGCATTTAGCTCAAAAGGGTCTCTCTCTCATTCTCTCGAATAAAGCTGCAACAGAACTACAGAAGTATATAGGAAACTGCTTCCAGCATGTTAATCTTTCGGTATATCCATACATGTCTATGTTAATCTTCCAGCATGTCATTGTATAACTACAAATTACACTTACATCTCAGAGGAAGTCCTGCAGGAGAATCAAATAATGCAAGGTTACGAGGGATGAGTGCAAGAAATAATACAATACCGAGGGTAGGAAAATACCAGTTTAAGATTCGGCTTGGAAGCACCCTTTTGAAAAGTTGAAGGGCTCTGTTCCTTAATGACTTCTTCAATTGATGATCCTTTTTCATGTACAAATTTGACAGACTCTGAGAGCCTATTCAGAAGATTGAACAATGCAATGACCTCATTTCGCTGCAGCTGCAACTGATCAATCGCCAAGAAGGAAGTATTGTTATACAAATATCCAGTTAAACATACAAAATGAACTCAAGATATACTAATGGTTTTAGAATATTTTTTCGTCAATTCAAGAAGAATTCACAGTGTTTCAGTTGGCTTTGTAGCAATTTAGCATAGAACTCACAGTGCATTCCTTCTTTTTTAAAGACGATGTATGGTTCGGGGAAATGTAAGCGATCAAGATGAATTAAGTGTTAGGAAATTAAAATGAGGATAATGTTTCAAAACGAAATGAGTATGGCAGCATATATCATAATATGGCAGTAGTGGTAATGAGTATTTGAGAAATGGACTACATACTGGATGATTCAAATGACTGTCTCCATCAACAGAGAAAAGAATTTTCAGTGCAGTTCCAAGACCAAGAACTTGGAGCTTTCCCCACAGTCGGCACTTCTCGCATCCAACGCAGTCCATAATTGCACTAATGAAGAAAATGTTACATTGGGTAAGGATTCAAGTGGTTCATATGTTTCTTATGAAATGAGAACACAGGAAATATGTCACAAACCTAATGTTTCTGAATTGCTTCTGAATCTCTTGCTTTAGCTCAGGACCATTTTCGCCTTGCCAGAGTTTGGCTTCATCAAAAGGCAATGGACATGCGGATCTTAACTTGGAATTGTAAAGCAATTGCTTCACAAGAGATTCTGTTTTCAAGTCGGCTTCAGGATTGCCAGTATTGTACTCGGCCTGCTCAAGATAATCTGCTGCCTGAAAGATTCCAAACCAAATCATTATCCACTAGATCACTACAAATTCTGAACAAATAAATCTAATAGTTTGATCTTCAGCATGGAAACAAAATGAATAGGTATTAAATAAGGAAGAAATGGGAACCTTTGTCACGGCCCGAAGAACAAACAGGTAGGTGAAGTACAGGTTCTGGACACGTTCTGGGTATTTCAGGACACGGTCATACAACAAAGGAAGATTTTGTCCCCACTGTGGCCATTTACATTAGAAGTGGTCAAACAATTATGAAACTTGGCCCAATAAACAATAAACAAAGGTGGACAATTTGGTCACGTACTGAGTTAGTAGATTCATCAAGAAGATAATCATAAGCAATATGCACTGAAATTGAGGAGTGCAACCCTGAAATAAGCTTGTACAATGCCTTCTTCTCATGGCACAGTTCTTCAGAGGGATCTGAAGAAAAAATGCAGTTAGAAGAACTTGTGTCAAAATTGTTTTACTGATGCAGGACTGGAGTGTTAGGATTCTCTATCATGTTACGTAGGACATCTAATGGAACATCATGTTATGTAGGACATCTAATGGAACAGGCATGCAACTAGAGCACTACACTACAGGACACTAAAGAACAACAGATGGGGCAATATATGCCATGCATATTGGATTACTTCAGAAGACAAGGTAGCTACAATTGACATATATCTCAAAAAAAGGATTCAAATAATGAGTCCATCACTGATTCATTTAACATGTAGTGAACTTATGACATGGCACATATAAACACACGCACTGAATAAAAAAATAAACATGGAGGTTGTCATGAAATAAAATAAGCAGCTCAGATGCAAATTATTAGTCACACTTGACATGGTTGATCAAACCAGTATATCTAAAGCGGAACAAGCATGTGAAAGAGCACATTTGCGTACATTTTGGACAGTTCTCTTTGTAAACAGCATCCCATACCCTTCTTGCTGAATCACCAGTATAGCCAGTGTATCGTTCAGGATTCAGTTGAAGATTCACATAAGTCATCTCATCTGAAATCAGTACAACAGTTTGATAATCATCATGAATGATAATAAATAAGAAACACAGAATGTGCAATAAACTAGATCAAGACAAAAATAAATTACTATTATCAGTCTCGTCATCAGATGTCCAAGGATTGTCAGTTTCAACCCATCCTTTGAAAACCTTGCTGTCAAGGGTTTTATCAACGGCAGCCTGTGGTTTTCCTTCTTGGCACATCATACTATCTAGAGAAAGTCCACTGTAAGGTTTCCTGAATGGTTCAGGGAACTCATTCTCCGGGCACTCACAGACACTACAATCTCTAAGCTTGCACATTCCATCATCGGGCCAAAAAGGGCAGTCACACCACAATTTAACCTTACAAAAGACAAGGAACAATACATGACTTAGAACAGATGAACCATTGCTTCAAAATTTATTTTTAATGTGAGCATTTTGGTGGCATCACATATAGCTGACAGTGACACTTCTGTTTTTTTAATCTCAGCATCAAAGATGAATTATCTGAATTGTTGCGGCTACACTTAACTTTAGGTGTACTACATACATGATTTTTTAGATGATTTTTGAAACATTGCGACATGGTATTTTAGTCCTTTAGCTAACATATAGAGTAGGCAGACTAACAAATACAAAACTATAGTTCACTGTGCAAAATTTGGAAGAGAACTTAAAGGGTTCACATTTCTGCGCATAGATTTTCATCTCCACTCCTCACTGAGTAATTCGCGTGAAATGGTAAAAGTAATCTGAGTACATATGAGACGAAAGTATATCTTTACAAAATAGTCGCCAACACCAATCAATTCCATTTTGCAATATGCAAAGGCTTACACATCAATATCAATAAAGATCAATAACATTCTCTGCCACAAACTTCCTAAACTATAGGGGATATAGGAATAGAATCGGTAAAAAAAATTAAGAGATAATGGAACAATTAGTTCAATTAGGATAGCTAACAGGTACCATTAGATGGTCCACAAGACTAGATTGTGCACTATTTCCACCATCAAATTCCCTAAATAAGGTAAGCCAACCATCACATTTTGATCAAGCAAATACCACTTTGATTCCATATAGAGCACAGTTGATTATTGTTCATTAGAATCATTACTAATCAAAAGACCAACATTATACAAGCAGAGTACAGAAAAAGTTTGATCCTAAGGTTTGAAACATTCACTTTAGAATAGTAGAAAACTGATAAATCACACTCAACTGCTCAGGTAAAAAAAAAAAAAATCTGACAAAGAATCACACAGTCGTCACGACAATCTTCCACCTATAAAATGGCAGAAGCACATTGAGGGGAAAAAAAAAGTAAAGACTCCATAACTCCGTAATCAAGCATCAAATTCTCCAATCAAGCATGCATGAATAGACTCTATCTCCCCATTGGAGTGCCACAATATACATTTCCACTAATGTGCCAAAATCACAGTCCAGGACATTAAAAAAAAAACAATCCATGAGTGCTCACCTTGAAGTACCTGAAGAAGGGCAACTTAACGAGTTCCTGTAGGATTGGATGCAGGACCTCCTCGTTGATGGCGTCCACCGTCTCATAGTCGCAGCAGCAGTCCTCCACAATCCCCGTGTACTTCCTCGCAGCCTGAAACGGACCACACCGCCACCTCAGAAGTCCGAACCGCATCAACTAAATCAAACCCCCCAAAAGCAGCAAAGCAAATCGCAATACCAACGGAGAGATTCTTACAGGGCAGCCGCAGCTTCCTGGTGACGAGGAGGGGATGCCCGGGAAGCTGCGGTAGCTCACGGCCACGGCGAGGAGGGCCACGAGGAGGGCACCGGCGGCCGCGTACCACAACCTACCGCCCCGCCGCTTCGTGCCCCCGCCAGCGCCGACCGCGGCGCCGTTCGCCACCGGAGCGGGGTTCATAGTCATCGCCGCGCCGCCGCGGAAGCTTCGAGAAGCGAGATCTCGACAGGAATTTTCGACCCGTGCTCGACACGTTGGCAATGGCAGCCGTCTGGTGTGGGGACGGGCAGGGAATCGTTGGAATTTAACGATGTTGGTATATCGATGGCGGCATTTTAATACAGTGGGTTAGATTGGGGAATCCGGGTGTGCCTGCGGAGTGGGTCACATGGATTAGCAACCTGTTGTTTTGGGAGGCAAATTGCTAGGTCCACTGGAGGTGATCTCGTGTAACCTTTTTAGCTCTGTTCGGCACAGCTCGAAATGGCTTCTTATTACATTGCGCTCTTATTAAGTGCGCGGAGGAGTTAGAATCAGAAAAAAAGTGGTTTTACACGCTCCTAGACCATTTTAAAAATAGAGACAAAAATGACTCTTTACTTCAGTATACGGAGGAGCCAGAGCCGAAGCCATGTCACATGTTAGATTTTGGATGATTCAGTTCTTGATACATGTGGCTGATATTTTTTTTCATGCACGGAATCAACGCTGTGGATGCTCTTAGTGCGCATGCTATCCCCCTACATTCTGAGTTTCTTTTTAGTGTAATGTTATTTGGTCATATTTTTTCATCTAAGAGTTTTGATTTTCAAAATCAAACTTTTAGCTATAAATTCTTTATATAGTACACTTCTAATGGATTTTAAAATCTTAATTCTTTGCTAATGCTTTTAGATGCAAATCTAACACTATATATTTGTGGCATAGTAATTTAGTGGCATGTTTGGATTGACAGATGTACCGATTCAGAATCACTCGAACCTATATTCGAACCTAGAATGTCTATTTGGTTTGTGTCATGTGAGTTGAAGCGATCCGGCATCCATCCATCCTTTGTAATCTTCCCCGCTAGTCTAATGTGATGGGCTGGCCTATTCCTAAAAAATTGTTGGACAACACAGCTTCAATCCATGACAGACAAACAGATTCTGGATCAAACTTGCCACAATCCAAACAAATTGTATATCTTTCGGATTAATTCTTGGTCAAACAATAAACTTTTATGGACAAATTGAACCGATTAGATTGGTTGTGGTGAAAACTAATCCATGCAAATTCAAGGTTTTGTCTTACCACGGGTGTCACTTTTTTAGCTAATTATTTTCTTCAGTGGTAGACGACGTAACTCTACAAAATGAAATGTTCTATAGTAACTTTGACAATATCAAGATATGCTAGCAATGTTTTTTAAAAACCACTACATATGCTGACGCTCACATACGCGTACATACACTGGACCCTATGAACATATGCATTCACACTCTACCTTTATGAGCCCGTCTGAGAAACTGAGCTAGTTTGGCAAATCTCGAGATTGACGAAGCCATCACAAACGTCTCATTGTTGATGTGTACGTCGTCTATCTCTAAAAGAAGTTAAGTCCTAAAATAAATCTAGAAAAATATAAACAACCGTGTTAAGTCAATGACTAGAACTTTGATAAGTAAGTTCCACCGTAAAAACCTTTTGCGCTAGGCAATGTTAATATGTGACACAGAGTCATTATTATATCTAGCAAGTTAACTGAAGAAATTGCAATCTTAAATTTTGTCCTTCTCTCTCCTATAATAGCTTCCTAGACGATATTACACTGGGAATGCCGAACTATTTCTAACGAACTAAAACTTTTTTTAATAGTTTTTTTTGTCTCTTACCGTTTTCTCATCTGAAATTTTTTATTTTCTTAACTTACGCATGCGGCCAATTTACTTTAATCTCCCAGAAAAACATCGAATCAGGAGCAGATACAGAGTTCCTCTTGATTGCGGAAACTTATGAGTTGAAGAGGATATTTAGCAATTTTTTATTTTTAAAGAGTTCTTTTACCAAACTATTGGAGGATATTTTTTCTCTTTTTATTAAAATATTAAAAGAGTCGTCTAGAAAAAAACTCCTAAGCCCAAACATCTTTATACAAAAACTTTTAAAGCATCATTAGATGATATAAGTTATTAGGACATAACATTAGAAGTTTATAAATCTAAGTTTGGAAAACACTGTTTTCTTCTGTGTGCATATGATTCACCCGTATCCATAATGCGCGAGTCCTGTTTTATAGGCACACATAAATAGTAGCAAAGTATATTAGTCTATTCTCTTGCAAAGCATGGTTATGCGGCTCGCGGCTGCGCCTTCCTTGTGTAACATTTTCCCCAGGCCCCAGCCGCCGTGTGCGCGTAGCCATCTGCAACGGGATTAGGCGTGGAACAGGTGCCAGGCATGAGGCATGGTGGAAACTGGAAACCGCAAGTCCTGAAACACGGAAGCGCATCCAACGGTTTGTGCCATCTTGCGGGTGATCGGACGGCAAGGATGCCCATTTGACGTGGCTGTGGGCCGTAGCTTTGACTGTAATTAAGGCCATTGACGAATCATCCCACGTCACGTCAATCGTCAAGTGCTATACGGAGCACGGGCGGTTTCGCTGGAAGGCGACTGTCTGTACTCTGTAGCATCTAGAAGAAGCAAAGATATCCGTCCTGTGGAACGGTGAACTACTTTTCAACTGTGGAATGGTGTTTTTCTCTCATAATATTTCAGTATAAGTATTAGCATAAGCTAAATTTCAGCATAAGCGAACAAGGTGATCATGTTATCAGGACTCGATGTCTTTTTCTTTGTGGGCGAATCCATCATTCTACCCGGTATAAAAAGTCTACTTGTGCTGGCAGTGGCAGCCAAAGAGAACTAGTACCACATATTATGAGTTTTACTAAATGTTGGCCTGTTTCCTATCTTAAGATATATATCATAGATCATAAAGTAACTTAGTGATACACTATAACATAAATTTAACATGTACCTCTTAAAAATCATAAAAACTTAAGTTCTAAGTTAAATGAGACTTCCTCCAACAAACCTTAAGAATGAAAGGTTTCTCTCATAGTCGGTGTAGTTGGATTAAGAACTTCTCACAAAAGGCAATGTAGACATAAAAGGTGAATGACCAGGTTGACCCATACTTCCAAGCTAAGAAAAGTTTAAGGCAGGGTGACCCACTTTCACCTATTTGTAGAATAGTGGTGGATATGTTGGTAGTCATTATTGCCAGGGCCAAGGAAGATGGTCAAATTCATGAGGTTGTACCATATTTAATAGAGAATGGTTTATCTATCTTGCAATACGCAGATGACACTATTTTAAAAAAATCTACTTGTGCTGGCATGTTTTACTAAATGTTGGCATGTTTCCCATCCTGAGATATATCATAGATCATAAAGTAATTTAGTGATACACCATAACATAAATTTAACATGTACCTCTTAAAAAGCATAAAAACTTAAGTTGTAAGTTAAATGGGACTTCTTCCAACAAACCTTAAGAACGAAAGATTTCTCTCATATTTGGTGTAGTTGGATTAAGACCTTCATACAAGAGGCAATGTAGGCATAAAAGGTGAATGACCAGGATGACCCATACTTCCAAACTAAGAAAGTTTAAGTCAAGGTGACCCACTTTTCAACTATTTTTGTAGAATAGTGGTGGATATGTTGGCTGTCATTATTGCTAGGGCCAAGGAAGATGGTCAAACTCATGGGGTTGTACCACACTTAATAGAGGATGGTTTATCTATCTTGCAATACGCATATGACACTATTTTATTTCTAGACCATGATATTGCACAAGCTATGAATATGAGGTCATTGCTCTGCACATCTGAACAATTATCGGTCTAAAGATAAATCTTCACAAGAAGTGAAATCTTCTGTTTCAGGCAAGCAAAGTTGTGTGAGTCATAATATAGTCAATTATTTGGTTGCAAAATAGGTACTATAGAAAATTAATTGAAGAAAGAATTGAGAAGAGGCTATGCGGCTAGAATGCAAAATTATTGTCATTGGGTGGAAGATTAGTCTTGAGCAATTCAATCTTATCTAGCCTATCCATGTTTATGCTTTCTTTGTTTGAGATCCAAAGAGGTGTTCTAAAGAAAATAGAGTATTTTAGATGTTAGATCAAGGTTTTTCTAGCAATATGACCAATATAAAAAAATATAGAGTTGCCAAGTGGTCTCTTATATGCCAACCAAAATAACAGGGAGATTTGGGTATGCAGAACCTGGATTTACAGAATAAACATCTATTAAGTAAATGGCTTTTAAAATTCTACAATGAAGACGACATTTGGCAAGAGCTGCTAAGAAATAAGTACATTAAAGATAAGACTTTGTCGCGAGTTACAAAAAACCTGGTGATTCCCATTTTTGGATGGGGCTTTTGGGAGTGAAGGAGCAATTCATGAGCTTATGAAAATTCAATTTAGAAGATGGTACTCAAATAAGGTTCTAGGAAGATAGTAGGTTGGGGTGCATATCCTCTCAAAGCACAGTATCCAAACTTGTATAATATAGCTCGACATAAACATGCTATTTAGCAAATACTCTAGGGGCAATTCCTCTAAATGTTTCCTTCAGAAGGGCTTTACTGGGAATTAAGCTGGTTGAGTGGAATAACTTAGTAGCAAAAGTAGCAAACATTAACTTACAAGTTGGATGAGATAGGTTCTTTTGGCTCCTTAAAAGCAGTGGCGAGTTCACAGTAAACTCCATGTATAAACACCTTGTCAATACGGGCTTTAAAGTATCCCAGGATATTTGGCGTTTACATATATCACTGAAAATTAATTTTTTTTGTGGTTCATTAAGAGAGGGGTGATTTTAACTAAAGATAATTTATTAAAAAAAATAGAACGGGAACAAATCTTGCGTGTTTTGTAGTAGGGATGGAACTATTCAACACCTCTTCTTCGAGTGTTTGTATGCTAAGTTCTTATGGCAGGCGATACATCGTTTTGGGCTCAAATCCCTTTGAATGTAATGGATATCTTTCATGATTGGCACAAAGGGGTAAATCAAATAAGACGTTATTGAGGTGGTGCACCCATTTGTTGGACTTATGGCTAGTAAGAAATGATATGGTTTTAGAGAAATGGCAACCCAAATTTCCTTTGTAGGTTTTATTCAAAGG